ATTTAAATTAAGAATGGGTAAGTTTCCTTCAAAAATATAAATACGAACCTATATTGTGTGTATGTAACGTTAATCTGCCAGAAGTATACAAAAAAAGAGATTTAATAAATAATTTATTGTAAAATAACAAGAAAATATTGTAGAAATCACTGGTTGCTGATCTTTATGGATTTATTTATTATGATTTAAACAGAAACGATGGTTATTTAACGTGAACTTAATGCAGTAATGTGATATAACTAAGACAGCTAAATTGATAATTCGCAACTCAACTCACAACTTGCTTTATATACCACAGTTTTGGTATTCCTAGCACGCACATGTGTTCCACAGACGTGGATGACTTTTTAATTAACCAATGTCATAAAGGAGCACGGGTATATGGCCCATCGGGATTCCCATTGTTCCGGGCCCGTCAACACTTTTATTGTTTTCTACCTGTAGTTCATCGGAATTTTCCCCAGAGTTTTTCTCCGATACTACAATATAATAGAGAGGGAGGGCGACATTTAATAAATACAAAAATATATTACATTTTTCAAAAAGTTTACCTCAAGAGAGAAAGGAGGAAAAAACTTATTATTAAGGAAGAAAAAGCTATTAGTATACATGTATAATCTAGTTGGTTTTATAACAAAATTTCTTTCGTTATAGGTTTAAATCATGGACCTGTGATAGCAGGGGTGATCGGAGCACAAAAACCTCAATACGATATTTGGGGAAATACCGTAAACGTAGCATCAAGAATGGATAGTTGCGGAGAAATGGGAAAACTTCAAGTTACTGAAGATACAGCCAAGATTCTAATCGCCGCTGGTTATGAATTGACGTGTCGAGGCCCTACTTATGTCAAAGGAAAAGGAACTTTAATAACATATTTCGTAAAAACACCATTCGACGACAAAGAAGAAACTTAATTTAGGAATGTTTGACTTAGGTCAGACAAAATCTAAAGATGCAAATGAAACGGAAAATGTAATGAAAGAAAAGAGATAGAGGAACAGTCACTTTGTTCATTCTAAAAGCCGAGCCAAAAAAAGTAAGAGTATAACGTAAGTTTATACTTGTTACTTAGTAATGTCATTAGTGAATAAATTATGAATACACGTGATAAAATTATGAATTATTTAATGTTATACTGTTATATAAACAAACAATTATATGTTTATATATATTCACATATAAGCAAATACACATTATGCATATATAATTGAAGTGTTAATCAAAATCGATAGGATCAGAAAAAAAGAAAAAAAGAAAGGAAAGAAAGAAGTAAACGATTTTGTTCGTTAATTTTTTAAGGACAGATTATGCGTAACAGTGTCCTTGATTTCGCAAACACCATTCAGGTTGTAAGGTCTCAGCAGAGATTCCTCTTTTTACGAATCGTTCTCGATGTCTCAGCATTCTATATTCAGCATGAATCCAAGTTGAATTGGGCTCTGCCCACAATCTCTCAGCAAATGCTGCGGACCTAGGCCAAATTTTCGTATCAGTTGACGCGCTATCGGCTTGTTCCGTCCAAAGAGCTGCTTCACCTCCTGTTACAACACAAAGATATGCCTATACTATATATGTATATAATTGTTGTGTGACATCACCATGGCTAAATTTTTCTCTTTAATAAGCCGCTTACTTCTTAAATGTACAAAAGAAGCCCAATCGGACATTGTAGGTATAATAATATAATCTTTGCATTTCAAAGTAAAAAGAAATATTTACCTAATATAAGATGTTTTTTATTCTCGAGATGTTGCAATTTGATCATTTTCAGAGGAGAGTTGTCATAAACGATCTGCCATCCTTTGTAAGGAGAACACCAATTATTACCCTCGCCTACCCAAGCTGAGAAGCTAAAAGAAAAAGCATAAGCAAAATAGAAAGTGGAGGATGCCAAAATCTAATATTAAATTGTTAATTACGAGTATATTAATAATTTATAATACTACTAATAATATAATAACTTGAAAATACTTATTTACCTACCCACAATCTAGATAAAGAGCGTCATAATTAGAAATAATTAATTTAAAATTATTTCGTAACAATCTACCAATACTAAGATCATCTTTGGTTGTCCATACTTGAATGATATACTTCTTAGGATCCAAGTATTTAATATTTTCTTCGTTGGTTAAGCCACTAGTCCACAAAATGATAGGTATCTCCTTTCCATCGTTAGCGATTTTCAGCTTGTCCATTGCCTTTTTTTGAAAATAATCCCAAAGCTTGTAAAAACTTGATTCTGATAGATCCCAATTTTGTACAGTTTGCATCCAATTTCTAATAACGGCTGAAGAATTCCAACAGTTTATATTCACTTCATCTCCACCCATATGAAACAGGTCTGGTTGAAAATCCCGTATCATGTCTTTATATATTCCTTCGAGAATTTCGTATACTTTCTCATTAGTCGGGTTCAATTGACCGCAAGGTGGCTCAACGCAGTAATTTCTCCAGGATTCTGCTTTGAAACAAACAACTGTATCATTTCCAATCTGAAAGCGATAGAATCATCAAAATTTCATTTGCTTTTCATTCTTCATCTGCTTCTTGTTCTTTTATTTTAACTTCTGCTTTTAATTCCTTTTTCTTCGTTAAAGCGCATAAAATAAAAGATAGTAAAGAATTTCAATTACCCATTGCCACCCTTCTCCCACGTGGGCGGGAGCATCAAATTCCGGTAGTACTCTAACACCGCGAATAAGGCCGTATTCAATAATTTCCTTCACATCTTCTTGATTGTAAATCTTGTCAGCTGCATAAGAGCCAAATTTTGAAAATTCCGGCCATGTTTTGCTAACATAGGGAAAACTTTGAGAATCGATAATGTGCCAATGCAACGTATTTAATTTGGACATGCCCATGCCGTCGATCGTTCGCAATATCGTTGCCTTGTCAATGAAATTTCGGCTAGTATCCAATAACACGCCACGGTAAGGATACACAGGGCCATCAACGATCACTATTTCATTTGGAATTTGAATCTGATTCCGTAAATCGTCGAAAACGATCAACTGACTCAATGTTTCCAGAGCATGTCGTACACCGAAATATGATTTCGCTATAATCGTTACTTCCAATAGCTATATATTATAAAATAAGAAAAAGAAAAAAACAAGAGTAATTATGTTTTATATTACATATATATTTGAGTACTTATTTAGCAGGATATATAAATTATTTTGTTAAGTATAAAATTATGTTAATAATTCAAGTTCATCGACAAAGAAAATCGAAAACCTGTTCCGAAGTACCGGACTATCTTCACGTATAAAACCATAAATATGTATTAGTAATATGTTATGGAAATAACGTTCTGGATACGATCTTTCCTTCTCTGATTATCTCACCTCATCTCCCTCCTACTATATTACAGTTAATTTTTAGTGTTTTTTAAATTCCTCTTTCTCTTTCTGTTATTAATTACGAACGTATGAAATATATATAAATTATACTGAACGACAAACAAAGCTTTTTGTGGAAGGATTACCACGCGCTCACCGTTTTATCCGTTTGTGTTACAGTTAAATTGTAGCTTTCGTCCGTGTTCAAGGTCAATTTAATGTTGTTATCTTCTAGATAACCTTTACATTGAATAAGCATGCCCACCCCGCCACCATTTGCTAATTTGCCGCCAATGTTCTTTACGATATTTCTTAATAAAAGTATATTCCTTTTAAGAAGATATTCAATTTGTGTCCCAGTTTGTACATCGCCTAATAAAATCTTATCTGGATTAAGCTGAACCATATTCTTGCTCAAAGACAGGTGACCAGTTGGTTTTGGCCACAGAGAACTGGATGCACCACAAAACAGTTCGCATACTTCCAATGAAATGGGTTCAGTTACATCCTTTGTGATTAACTCCTTCTTACAGAGACCACCCTCGCACTTATAATGCCATAGTGAACTGTGATCAAAATTAATCGATTTCTTCTTTTCTCCTTCTTCAGATATATTCAAAGATATATAACTTTAACATTTTTCTTTTCGGAAAAAAAGGTCAGAATACCATTTCTACCATTAACTGATAAACCAAATAGATAAAATAAAACATTTTTCTTTTCAGAAAAAAATCAGAATACTGTTTCTGCCATTAACTGATAAACCAAATAAATAAAATAAAATAAAAATGAAGATATGTATATATCTATTCATGTGTAAAAATATACATGTATAACAAAGATTAACAATTATTATAAAGTGAATTTATTAATAACTTTTAAACTATAATATTTAGAAAATTTACGATTTTTGATTCGAGATAATAGTACATTTTTTTCGTGTTCAATTTCATTTAATTTTCTGTTTAATATCACCTATGATGTAGATGAATAAGGTGCCACGTACGCGTATGTATCTACCTGCTGCTTTCACTGTACAAGTTAAAATGGAACAAATCTCTCTTTCTCTTGCCGTCTGTTTGTCAATTTTCAAGGAAAACTGTTTGCGTTGAATTATAATCGTTCAAATTTAAAACGCTGATTCCACATGTCTCCTTATTTTATTTTTTTATAAATTGCTTAAAAATTATTTATAAATTTTATCTAAAAAATAGAAAGAATTACTTACCTATATTCTCCAATACTATCACTCGTATTAACTCCAATAATAAATACGATAAGTAACAAAGTGAGTATATTAATACTTCGCATGTTTCATCCGTGCATAGATACGTCTTTCGAATGACTGAATACTGCAGATATCTCTTCATTCGAATGATTTTATTCGCTTAGCGACATGGATCAAATCCATTTTGATTGGATAAAGAATCACGAAGTGGGGTAACGACATTACTGTTTAATAAATTTGAATTTTAACGAATTCGATGAAAAAAGAGTTTCGTTTTTATACCATCCAAGTTAATTGCTGATAATAAACGATTACTTTAAAATTATTACTTAACCGTACACAATCTAAATGCCATAATTATATCGCAGTAATGTATGTTCATGGGACATGTTTCATAAAAATAAAATCTACTACAACATACGTATTTTTTTTTAATAAATATTTATTATATATGTAATTAGGATATTATAAAAAAATTAACAAAAAAGTATTATGTTGTTTGGTTTACTTTCTGTTCATTCATCACCACGTATAGCTCTATATTTAGCCAACTCATGTGGGAAAACTCTAGTTAGCTCTACAAGCATGTTTGCTTTAAATTTCCTATAAGCATCGATTTTTCCTTTCACTTGTTCATTTTTAGTTAATGCCTTTTCTATGCAATCCTTAGTATATAATTGTGGATTTCTGCCTTGATCAATGTAACTAAAGCCATGTAGATATGATAAATTGTAGACATGAATTCTTTGTTATAAGAATCAACAACATAGCCCGCTGATTTTGACATACTTACTCGAAAACCTCCAAAGGTACATGAACATCTTGAACTTGAGACTTAAGTTTGTCTATTTCTTGTAACCCGTTTACTAAACCTTGACTAAAACATAAAAAATTCATATATTATAACATATATAAAAACAATAGCCAATAATGTTAAACCCTTAAACATTCTTAACCATACTTTATGATATCTAAATCTCTCCTAGGTTATTAATCATTATTAATCTCAATGGAATATTCCGTTACAAGTAATAATAATTCTAAATCACGGTTATAATTTATCTTTTTCCTGATCACATGGATAAAAATTTTATGAAATATTTATTTGGTTGATTCAACAATAATATTAAATATGTACGTAATGAAATGAATTGTATCATATATACACAACTCACATTTTTTGATTCAGTACATTTTGTCCTTGCGGTTGAAAATCACTCACTATAATACGTATTTGCCTAACATTCTCAATAAAAAGCTCCAACTGTGTTTCCAAATTTTCTAACGTAGACGCCATATTTGACAGTACATATACAACTAGTACCTAGCTCCTATTCCACGGTCGCAAACACTGGCGACCGAAACTTCCGTAGGTCCGAAAACTTCCGTAGTGGGGATAAGATTCTTAACATCGGGAGATATGTTTTCGGCCGCTAACCATAGCGGTAATTTGTTAAACTTCAGCATTTAACGCCATCTTCGCCGTTCTTACCATTGAAGATAAAGAATATAAACTAAATTATTTTTCATAATTTCTTTCAACTTATTTAGAGTAACCGTACGGTATTTTATGTAGTATAAAAGAATGTTTTTTTTAAATAAATGTAGATTCACATAATAGAGTACATTTCAGTTGCAGACACGGTCCTGTTTCAGATCGCAGACAAAAGGCGCGCTGACAACGAAGACCATCAAATCGATTGGCGCAATTTACTTCAGAAACATTTTCTGACCGCTAACAGCCTTCCCCCTTCCATTACAATTTTCAGACCTGTGTATACAATCATATATATACATACATATGTAACAAATATACGGCCACAAGCTCACATAGTCATGTTTTATATATCTGATACTACCAGACTTCGGGGCTACATAATTGAATTCCAAGTTGTATAAGAGAAATAAGCTTCGTAGTTTTCTAATAACATTTTCAAAAAATAAATAATTCATCAAAAATATAAAATATAAATAAGTATAAACAATAAAATATCTAAAATATCGTATTGTGCCTGTGCGTGTATATGTGTGTATATAGATATGAAAAAGATATTTTAAATTTACCTTGTAATCGATTATAATTTAATAAAGCTAATATATTGTATTAATTAAATATATTAAAACTTGCGCTTATACAATCCATAACATATTCATATCAAACATCTAAATACCATAATACATTTCCATTTTTACATTAACTTTTATGATGATGCTAAAACACATAGTCATAGGCAAGTTTATTCTTTTCATTCAACAAACTTAAGATAAATTTTCGAAATAACATCAATTAATAGGTTACGTTACGGATGAGGTTATGTAATTCTCCCAGGTGGTGGTACAGGTTTTATTGGAACACAGATAATAAGTTCATTATCTCGTAAAGGAGTTCCTTATACATGTATTTCTCGCATGCCTGGGCCAAATCGAATTTCATGGGTAAGACGAACTAAATGATATAAGCATATAATAATAATAAATATAATAAAATTTTTAGCATGATTTGGAATGTTATGGTTTACCTGAAAATACAACTGCTGTAATCAACGTTGCTGGTCAGAATATACTTGATCCAAAACAGCGATGGTCAGAAGGATTTAAACAAAATGTTATAAATAGTCGAGTAGAGACAACAAAATCTTTAGCTAAAGCTATAATACATACTAAAGCTAATGCTTTTGTAACAATTTCTGGAGTTTCTTGCTATAAACCAAGTGATACAGAATACACTGAAGAAAGCAAATGTGAAAAATATGACTTCCTATCAGGTAAATCGTCATTTTGATGTTAATACAGTACAAATAATATAATTATATCATTTCAAACCTATACCAGAACTCTGTCATGAATGGGAAGAAGCTGCACAACTTCCGAAAGATAGCAATATCAGACAGATCACAATTAGGTCAGGAGTTGTATTAGGAAAAAATGGCGGTATGATTAAAGAAATATATTTACCGTTTTTTTTTGGATTGGGTGGCCCTATTAGTAGTGGAAATCAATATATGCCATGGATACACATAACGGACTTAGTAAATTTATTTTTGTTCTCAATTGAGAATGAGAGCGTATATGGTATACTAAATGGTGTTGCCCCCCAGGTAATTAACTGAGATTTAAGTTAATTTTAATAATAATAAATAAGCATAATTAACAGAATTATTATTTACAGATTGTAACAAATAAAGAATTTACTAAGGCATTTGCATCTGCAATGCAAAGACCTGCATTTATTCCTGTACCACGCATTGTTTTGAATAGCTTGTTCAATAAAGAACGGGCAAAAGTGAGTACAAATCATATGTTGTGTTATGTTTTATTGTAGTTAATAATTATATCAATCCTTTCTCAGATTATGTTGGAGGGACAAAAAGTTATTCCTAAACGTGTCAAAGAATTAGGATTTCAATACCAATATCCTGATATTAATTGTGCTTGCGCTGAAGTACTTGGCAAAAATAAATAATTATAAATCGAGATTAGAGAGCTAATTGAAGTAATATGTATGTCGGAGAGGGAAGGACAGCGGGATTTTTCGTCGGAAATGCTGGGAAAAACCCCAATACTATAGTCAAGACTTTTATGATAGCTACGTTTAAGCAATAAAAATAAGAAATAACTTTTAATATTCCAACCTGTCTTTATGACGATGGGTTCGGGTTTAAGGTGACATGGCGGGTCACTAGATGTAGCCACGGTCACGGGAGGGACGTGTACCTGACAAAGGTATGGAATGACTATATGACTCTCCTTAAGAACAAGGATTGCCCCGAGAAGTGGGGACAGGAATATATAAGGGCAGTTTCATTTGGACTGAGAGTTAGAGAGTTTGTTAGTTAGTCGTTGGACGAATCGTCGATTGAGTTATCGAAGTTACCCGACTCGAGTATTACGCTGATACTTGTCATCCTGTGGACCGTGGATTCGTCGACAAATCTGAAGTCATCGTCACTAGCGTCCCGAGTGTCTAACTGATCCCGTGTTGTGATCAATTGTTAAGGTAGTAACCATCCCTTTGTTGTAATAAACTACATCTGTGCTGTACCGCCGCAATGGTTAATTCCCATGAAGACAAATCCGACGCCCCCAACCTTACTCCTACTGCGGATCCGACATATAAATATCAATATTTTAATACTGATTCTTGATTGTATTAACTTGTACAATACAATATTAATTTATATATTTACATTCATATATTACTATGTATGTATATAGAAACAAGAAATAATTAATTTATTTTCTAATATTTCGCAATTCGTTCTTTGCAAAACTTCCTATGTACACATTGATGAATTTATTTGTCTCTTTTATTAAAAAGAAAACAAATAGATTGTGGTAAAAATCCCAATATATTTAATAACATGAATTTCCAAAATAATATGTGACTATATCAATGTGCACTGCATTTTCCAACTGCGTTTCTTATTAACCCTTTCGTTGCGAACAGCGCTTATAGGCAATCCGCCAGAGTAGCTCTTCTCTCAGAGCATCGTACCATCCGCGCAACCGATCTCTCATTGTCACGCCGGCTACTCAGAGAACAATTCGTTTTTGAGCGCTCCGCAGCGAAAGTATTAATATAATTTTATTTTTGTTTTTGTCTACATATTAAGAAGCATCTTCTGAATACATTCAAATTAAATATGTTCTCATATGAAAGTAAATATAATCAAATTTTATAATAATTGATAATCATGTTATTGTAATATTTTAGTTTTTTATGAACGTAAATTTTCTGATCATTGGAACCGTAATTTAAAATGTTAAGAAACATTCTCATAATAAATATGCATATGTCGATAAATAACCTCTACTTTCTGAACTATTATAGCAATTCTTTCATAAACTAATTGTGTTTTTCTGTAATTTATTGTTGCATTAAAAATTAAGTACTATATACCGATGTTACATATATACGTACATGTGAGTAAGTAAGTACGTATGGTTGCATATTGCAGAGTCAAATAAGATTAAAGAAAATAGAAAATGGCGTGATACCGCGAGGACAGCTGTTATTTATCGGAGAAAGAAAACAGAAGTAATTTGGTTTAATTCAAGTGATTTTGTGAAATTTTACATATATACGAATTTCTTTATAAAGAAATTTGAAAGCGAATAATATCTAGTGAAGCATAAAAGTTGAAAATATAGTAACCACTCGAATTAAATGATAAAAATTTATAGAATGATGGCAGTGATAATGTTGGTGGAAGTGATTGTGTGAACATTGAAGGAAACTAGTTCCAGGAATTTATATATATTAGGAATATTGGTTTGTTTCGTTTTATTATGTGTAATTGACTATCGTTAATGATAATGAGCTGCAATTAAATTTTTCTAAGAGAATTCCTCCATAGAGAAGAAAATTTAGAGAAAAGAAATAAAGCGAAAAATATGAAGAAAGAAATAAGTTAAAGTTGTGGTCAAAAGTTCATGTAATTCTTGTTTCTCGAATGTCTAAAAATAAGAGTAAAATATTTAAAGAAGCGAGACAATTCCATAAGTTGTAATTTTACTTCGATGTATCCACATATATGTTGGATATTTCGTATATAAAATTTTTAAAGACTCGGAGGACTTACTTCCATGCATTTTTTCAACGATTATTTAATTACATTTTCGACGTATTGGATATTTCTCTACAATTAAAAGATGACCAAATATCATCCAATATCACAACAAGTATCCAGTGATAATCATCGTTTTTACCACTGTTCTTACGAGGTTAGGATTAATCGACACAATCATATTTGCTTTATTTTTATCCATATTTTTTTACGCTAGATATTCAGATACGTATATGTGTAATTTAATTTCACATTGATCTAAGCAGAATTCAATCTAATTCACATATTTCATACGATTTTATCTTCGTTGATTTAATAAGCAATTAATAATAAATTAATATTAATAATTTTAGCATAAATACTATAATAATGAAATATATGAAGAAAAAATATTATGTTATTTTAACATTGCTTAATTTACTGTAATTTGTGAAAATTTTTATACATTTGTACTGATATTTTGTTGAATAGGAATCACCATGAATGCCAGAACTCAGTTATTTGAATTAAGTATGGAGGGCAGACAAGTGGATGAAGCAGTAGCAAGTATATTCCATAGTGTTCTGTTCCATCGAAGTCTTGGTAAATTTAAGTACAAGCAAGAAGGTAGTTACTCAGTAGGCACTGTTGGATATCAGGATGTTGACTGCGACTTCATTGATTTTACTTATGTCTGTTGTTCATCGGTACACCTGGATCAAACTTTGAAACGTGAAATATCAGGTTTTTCTGAAGCTTTGCGTTCTAATGATAGTCCAGGTTCTGGCCAAATATCCCTGGAATTCTTTCAGAAGAAGAAAAATCGTTGGCCTTTTCAACCAGAATGTATACCATGGGAAGTATGGACAGTACGCTTAGAACTTATTAAGTTAGCAACAGAACATGAACGACAGATATGTAGAGAAAAGGTTGGAGATTTATTAACAGATAAAATTCTTTACATAACAGAAGTAATGAATCGACATGATTATTTACCAAAAATGCCAAATCAAGCTGAACTGGATTTGATCTTTGACACATCGTACCCTGATATACAACCTTATCTGTTTAAATTATCATTTACCACCTCTGGCCCATCGAGTACAACAATGGGTAATACAATGAAAAAATTGATCAAAGAGACATTATCCATTTAGTTGTTTATTAGTTTCCATAAGAATTTTTTTGGTGTAATATATATATAATCTAAATTCATTCTTGGATAAATTAACATTATGAACTTTCCTTCATTAACAAAGGAATTCTGTTTGTCATATGAAATGGTGTGCATTCATATATACTCAAATCATACCTTACTCATACTCTTTTAGTTTCTTTTACTTGTAGTTTATAAACATTTGTCACATTACATGTTTTTATATGTATTGACTTGCATAGAGGATTGAAACCTAGAAGGATAGAGTTAATTGTATGCAATATTTGAAATAAAGTGGGATAAAGAGATCAATCCCATACATCAAAATGCTATTTCTGACCGATGTCTACGCAAATTCTGTGCCGACAATATTTGTCAGAAAGAAAACGGAAAAAAAATATATATTATAATTGTATAAACTTAAAATATTTGTAAAATTTCTATAGTACAAAGGAACCAATTGTGTATAGCAGTTACTTTTTTGCGTATACATATATTATTCCATGAATATCGTCCATTGCATAAGTCTTCTAGGTAATCAGTTATAGATTAAATATGAAATATTTACTTTTCATTATTTTAAATTCGAATTTGTTGAAATGTGAATATTGTTAATAGGCAAATAATGACATCTCATTAATAGAGAACATTTTTTGTTTTATTTATCTCTGAAAATACATGACGATTGTAAGGAAATAAAATAGTGTATGTGTTTATTTAGCAAAATTTAAAGGTAATAAATTTGTTCTAATATATAAAGCTGTTATTTCTCTCTCTCTCTCTCTCTCTCTCTCTCACTCTTTTTTTCTATGTTTGAAAAATCTCGTACACATATTTAATGTTTAATATATGACTGAAACCTAGACTTACTATTGTGAATAAACATATAGTACAAGTGCTTGTCTCTACATTTGTTATTCACATATTAATGTAAATGTGAAAATATGTAGTATGTATATGTGATTGAAAAATAGACTTTAAGTAATTTTTATAGTTTGCTCTTGTTAAAACATCCTTGTTAAAAGAAAAATTTATAACGATCGTATTGATTAAGTAAAAGATATAAAGAGCGAAATAGTAGTAATAATATAATTCATTGTATATATTACAGATAAGTCGAAAGATTCTAAAAAGTTTTAGTAAATATACTTACTTGAATGTCAATGAATCTTTTGTCCTAAAATTAATATTGTTGTTTGAGTGGAAAATTATTTGTGAAATAAAAACGTATCCAGCTGACATAGATCACTCCTATAAGTAAAAGCTATGTAATGGTCTTGATTAAATTTTTTAAAGTTCATTCTTTTGTATGAATCTTTTATATAAAAAACAAGAGATGAAAAGTTTTAACGTGTGTAATTGCAACGTGAAATAATTTAAAAAATGAAATACTTTCGTGAAATATTAGATTTATCGTAAATATACCTACATTTTTCGATAATGTATAATAGTAACATGGTACTACTTTCGCTATATTAAATTAAGCTTCTGCAAGAGTGTGCAAGTATTTAAGGAAGGATCTAGGCCTAGAAGAAATATATTGAATTTACTATAACAGCAAAGTTCCGAATAAAGTGATTCTTTGATATTTTTTAATATTACTAATTTTGTATATGTTAGAAAATGTTCGAATATCATGATACAAGTACTGATTTTCAAATTACATTTTGGCTATAGTACTCTCAGCTATTACTGAACTGAAAGCCGACACGTTGTTACAGATACCAGATACGAACATTGCAAGTTATAGGTAAAAAGACAGTAGGAAGAGAATACAGATGGTAACGCGGACGCCTGCGCGAGAAAACGGCGGCTTGTCTAGTTAGGTTTAGCCAACAATTTTCCATTTTCAGTTATCGGTGGAAAAGGCTAGCCGTCACTTCGAAAGCGTTTCATCGTTGAAAATTATAACACGTTGTTAAATGTTGTGGTGCTCGCTTTATATTATTTAGAAACAAACCGTAATATAAGAAATACTGAAACGTCTTTCATCTTTATAATAAAAAGAGAAGAAAAAAGCAAAATTATAAGTACTTGTCAAAGAAAGGTATAATCGACATTTATAACAATTGTGTGTAAAGTGATTTCGAAAGATTACTATCTACATGTTTTTTATTTGACTTTTTATTCGGTGACGGTGAATATCTGCCATTGCCAACGTAAAATATTTTTTATTTACATATTTTGGTTACTTTATGTAATAAGTACGTGGTACTGTTATAATTGTGAAGCATCAATTACGATTGATTTTCTAAATAATTCTCCACGATCGGTCTGAAAAATTAATTTTTAATTTAATTTCAGTTATTTTATAATTAGTCTTTGTTCTCTCGTGTCTAACTATTTGCTTTGTTTCCATTTTATATACGTATATTTTTGCGTAATAACGAAAAAGACATGTACATGTACATAAAGATTAACGGTCGAAATTATCAACAGGTGGTTGGAGAAAATAATAAATTTTAACTTTGATTTCAATTACTATACATTTCTTAATAGCAAAGTATTTTTTAAACACTTCTGCCGATACTGCTTCTAATTAAAATACTTTGAACAGATTGCGATAATTAAGAGCAGGTGATTTAACACGTATAACACGAAGTATTACTCAAAGTTTGACTCATTGTCAGAGAAAGATTGTGTGCGTGATAGCAAACTAAATGTTATGTATGTATATGTAAATAAGTAACTATGTAAACAATAAGAATGGCAATGAGTTGAAAAACTTTTCGATTCCTTTTTTTCTAATCGAATAATTCGAACATATTTTTTTATTTCGACTGAACGTTTTGAGTGTAAAAAATTTTATATAACTGGCATCGATCGAAGGACGATTCGTGATCACGCAATATCGTTCTATTTTTGGGGAATGTTTTAAACTCGGTAACCTCGAGAAACACCAGATTTTACCACCTTTGAGATCGGTTATACGATTTGACTAAAGTGAATGGAATAAAACGAAGAACTTTTTCAGATGAAGAACAATCCAGATGTATCAACATTATATATATTAGTTTCAGTAATACGTGTTATTGTGTCGACGATATTTTCATTCGGTCAGTAACGCATATGAATATCTACGAGCAATCAAAGTAAAACAAATTCGATCATCTTTGACAAATCGATTAATTATTTCTCATTGGCTGTTAATAATTGGCTTAGCTCGTAATTATTCAAATATAATTATCTAATTATAATCAAGACGATATTACTGTAAATTATAAACGATGGAATAGTCGGCATATGTTTTCAGTTGCGGCTTCATCTTATTCTGTCTTATTCTAATCGTACTGAAAAAGCTCTCGAGGAAAAAGATTCGAAACGAAGAGAAACAGAAGAGGAAAAGAAGACAATTTTGGAAAAAGAGAAGACAGAAATCAGGTTGGAATAAAAAAAAAGACAAAGAACAAGATAGGGAAAGTGGAACAATAACTGCTCGGTCCCCGGAGACAGATCGATCGAGAAATGAATGATTCGCCGATTTTATCAAACGGGACCGCCGTAGAAGGATGGTCGACTACTAACCGTCCGACTATAGAGAACGATGTAACCTCGAATAGTTTAGTGCAATTAATCTTTTACATATTTTATGCAAATATTTTTGCGTTTGGTGTATTTGGTAATGTGCTCGTATGTTTCGTCGTGGCACGAAATCGACAAATGCAGACAGTTACGAATCTGTTTATCACGAATCTAGCATTGAGCGATGTGCTACTTTGTGCTCTGGCGGTTCCGTTTACTCCTTTATATACATTTCTCGGGGGATGGATATTTGGCAGAACCCTGTGCCACTTGGTACCGTACGCTCAAGGTGTCAGCGTATACATCAGCACATTCACTTTGACGAGTATCGCGATCGATAGATTCATGGTGATCATATATCCTTTCCATCCTCGTATGAAGATCGAAGTTTGTTTAGCCGTGATAGTCGGTATTTGGATAATCGCATTGTTGTTCACTCTACCTTACGGGCTTTACATGCATCTCGAGGAGCCGTACACTTATTGCGAGGAACACTGGCCGAACGAACGATTTCGAAAAATCTTTAGTTCCATTACTTCGATACTACAATTTGTCTTACCCTTCTTCATCATCGCTTTTTGTTATATTTGCGTTTCGATCAAGTTGAACGATCGAGCTAGAACGAAACCTGGCACAAAGACTAGTCAAAGAGAAGAGGTTGACAGAGAAAGAAAGAAACGAACGAATCGGATGTTGATCGCTATGGTTGCCGTATTTGGCATATCTTGGCTGCCGCTCAATATCATCAACGTTATCGACGATTTTTATTCACCTGCCAATGATTGGGCTTATTACAGAATCTGCTTTTTCATGACGCATTGCCTCGCTATGAGTAGCACCTGCTACAATCCTTTCCTTTACGCTTGGCTCAACGATAACTTTCGCAAAGAATTTAAGCAAGTACGAACTTACTTTTTATACTTTTATTTCTTGTTATATGTGTGTCTACTTACTCGTAGAAAGTTTCCTTCGTTTCTCAATTTTCTTGCTCTCGGTTCTTACCATGTTTTCTCCTCTTCCAATTCTTGTTTTTTAATCAACTCAATACATAGTTGATTAAAATACTTGTAAGTAGGTAATTGTAATGTACGGATCTCGTATCATATTTCATCTCTGAGTAAATTCTCTTTTCGTTATGCGTGCTTATACGTGTCTCTGTGTCGTGCGTATATCCTCACTATCCACCTGTAAATGGACTCGTATAAACGACACTAAATTATTCGTTGAAAGATCTCTTCCCTCCTCAAATTCCACTTACCGTGGTTATAAGAGAAAAGCTTTTAAAGAAAAGTTCTCTCATTTACATTGCAATGCGATTTATAACTTTGATCGAACGAACGTTCCTTACTTTCTAACATAAGCCGACAACGTTCTCTCGAGCCCATTATCGCGCTAAACCATTTCAAGTTGTTGTTAAATATGTTTCGTTATTAAACACAAATGAAAGATGCACGAACTCAAGCTGCAAATTCATACGTACATTATCAAAATTCGATGAACAAGTAAAGAAATAAACGCACACGCTGTGTCTAATATAATTAACGTTGTAGATTCTTATCGATTTCAAACTAAATGTAAAATAGAAGAACCTATAATAAGATAATAATGTACGAAGCAGCCGTGTGTTCCTTATCTTAGCCTATGGCTTCAAACTTTCAATACTATTATACTATCGATATATTTTTAATACCGTCAAAATTTCACGATAAAACCCATCTGAATTCTTTTGAAGGTGCTTCCATGTTTTCCAAAAGCAATCAACGGTTACACTCCAAGAACCACCGAAGAATTTCAAAATAATAAAGAATGTAGCGGAAATAACACTATCCAGGAATCTTTATTACTGAATGAAACACATATAAGAACTTCAAATCCCGAAGCTCGCGAACTGATCGTCCACGAAACGACCACCAACAATATGTCGAGAAACTTGGAAGAAATGGAAACTTTTTGATTCGATCAAATTCGAACGCGAGTCAACCATCGTAAGTAAGTATGCATTCACATCGTTTCTCTGTGAGGAAGAGAATAATATAATATTTACTGTGTTTATCGTATAGATGTTTTTCTTCGCTAAAAACAAATATTTATAAATTGATCGCATTATCCATTAATTGCATTAGACCTCTATCTCTATGTATACATATGTACAGGTAGATAGGCAAAGGGAAACCGAGATCCGGTATAATACAACGTTCTATTCGTCTAATTCGTACGTCTAATTTATTTAAGAGGTAAATGGATACGTGCAATAAAGTCGGGAATAAAGATTTATCTTCGTTTATCGTCTTTATTTATAGTTAACAGGATCGTTGAAATCCTTGCTGTTTTCTCAAGATCTACATAGGTAGAAGTTAAATCGTCACATACACGATTGGTTAATGACGTAGTCGCTCTGAACATGTATATTTATTGCTTTTCCATCGTCTTCGGTCTTTCCTTTCTGTGATAAATTGACCGTGCTTAGGATAAATTGCTCGAAATGAAGAAAAATTATTGCCTATCGAGCATTCGTTGAATAATGAGGAAAAGTCTAAAGCAGAAGTTGAGCATCTTTCACGTTCTTGAAAATGAGAGAAACGAGAGAGAATCGACTTTTAAGCGGGCACGTTTCCTTGTTTCAGTTTTTCGCATTGATCAGCGCACCGATTTCCATACATTTCTTTATTGTTTTACGTATCCGATAAATATATTTATCTCGAGACCTACCTTAAGAACATATTTACCTATTGTTCTAATTCTATTTATTTCAAGATCGAATTGAAGGACACTTTCTCTAATAAAAGCTATTTTTCTTCTCTAACAGCTTCAGCTACAGAACACTTACAAAATTGACTTCACTGAATGATAGTTCATATTTTTATTCTTTTCATATGCTCTTTAGCGTTTTCTTTTTTCAAAATTGTAAAAAATATTACCTTATCGATAACTCGCAATATAATTTTTATACCTTTATTGGTTGGGAAAGATTATAAAATGTTATTACAAGCAATTCATTGGACTATAAACGAATAGAAGTAGAAATAGAAGCAAAAATAACGGTAGAAATTCTACGAATACGAAAAGCTGTACGAATGCTAACATAATTGATCGTGATATTGTGGGAGGAACAAATTAAAGATACTGTTATAGTTAAAACATATACGCTTGTCCATTGGATTCATATACACCGCGGTACATAAGTACATACATTTTCAATAGATTGCCGTGTTATTTCCTGCCGTATTGGTTCGGGATTCAGGACAGAGAACAGCCATTCTTCTATCGTTATCGTGCACTTTTTTACTAGCCTTCCAGTGTTTCCGTGTCATATCCTATCCTGAAATTTATATATGTACATATTTTGTTTCATCGATAACAATTTTTTCCTCAACTTTTTCCTTTGCATTGTCATAACTATATACGGTCGCTGTACTCTTCTTCTCTCCTCTTGACGTTTTTCCTCTTTTTTATTACTATTTTATTATTTATAGACATATTTGGTGTATCCTTCTATGATGTTTATTGTCAGCAATGTAAAAAGAAAAAACAATATAAAGTACTAACGTTGCAATAACAGAAGGAGGAAGGAAGCAGGAGAAAGGAATGAAGATTGTTCTCTTATATGTATATATGAAATGTTTCTCTATTTCACAGACATCTCTGTGTTACAGAAATAGCTGCATTTTCTCTGGAGGCTGAAATCTACTTGTATCATTCTTCAATCAAGTACTACGTTTTGCATTACTTGTTGTATAAAAGAAACAAGCAACAATGGTGGCGGTATATTTACAGAAAAAGAGACACGCGATTCTGCACAATCATATTACGATAGAATTAAGAATTGATTCGTCAATCTAAGTTTGTTATAAACCATGGTGCGTCAAATACAAAGAAAATTACGAAGGGAAAAATTAAAAAAAGGAACCTGCTGAACTTCATTGTCAGTTTCTTTATTATGTTTATCCAAACTATTTTTCTGTATCTTAACACTTTGCGATTGGTATATCTTTCTCTTCGCATTATTAACTAGTCAACACTCGAGCAAATTTGACATAATAGATATTTAACATGCCATTCGACTTTAAAAACAAATTTTAAATACCGTTATCCGATTGCAAAGGATTCAATGTTAATTTCTCAATTTTTTTGTACAAACCAATACGCATTTTATGAAAAAATTCATCGTTAAATTTCACATCGATCGTTAACAAACCATGATTACAAATAAGACACAAATGCGTAATTAAGCGATATAGTAGTCATAGTATAATACTATGTCATTGTAGTACGTATAGTACATGTGTACGTATATTATTACATCTATTTGATTCAGATTAAGTATCCTTGGACTCTTGTCATTAAACGTGGTTTGAAATTTTATTCGAAAACTTGCTCGATCGAATATCCTAGAGATAAGAGAGTACGTTGCAGGGGTATGTTTACTGATAAAAGCTGATAACGACATCGTTTCGATCGACTATTCTCGAGAACGTGTTCTCCCCTTTCGTCCATCTCCGATTTCAATTCCGCAATAACACCTCATTATCCTACACAATGATTGCGGTAATCCGAGCACGCCTTGTGAAAAACGATGCTTGTCAAGATACATCGCGTATATCTACACTTCTATATCTTTATCTATGTATATGCAAGTAATTTTCAATTGTATTGTCATATGAATATGTTAAAAATTCTATTTTTATTTTCCATAAATTATCGTTCACTTTACATTCTCGGATCTTTAATAAAAAGGAAATGATCTATTCATACATAAAAATGTTCATCGTGATTATACAGACGTAGACTGTGGCTTCTTATGCACTTATAGGAAACTTGAAATTGCGAATTGTGTTCGAAATGCATATATTATGAAAAAATGAATTAAATATTCAAACTATAGCGCATCCTATAATACTTGGTAGGTAAACGATGATTTTCTATCAAAATTCTACTTTTCTAATTGTTACGTCGCGTAACACTCTACCTAGCCCAGGCCACATACCGCGGGCAATATGGCAACCAGATGTCTTCGGATACTCGCAGCGTATCCTCCATAGTTTCAAGTCCCTGCCATAAATGTCATAGATTTCCTAGAAAAGGTCCTTGAAACCAAAAAAAACGTCTGTTTCCGAAGAATTTCCAAGGACTATTGTCTACCACGGCGTGACAAGGGAAAGTTAGTTTTTCTCACGTACGCTGCAACTTTCCTCCCACTAACCACTTTCTCTCGAGGGCGGTTAAGACCCTTCGTTTAACCAATTAACAACGAAGGCTATTCCCTCATTCTCTTAACTAACATCGGCACCAACAAATCCGATGGTCCCGTGCGCTAGACACACCCAGCCTTAGCTTTCCTCCGAGACAGCATCGTCTCCCAAAACGGTACTGATTTCACATCCTTCGAACGGTCAACATCCTTCGAGCGGGTATACACACCCGCAGATCAGTCACTCATTCATCTCGTACATACGCACCAGTGTAACTGCCTTCGTTATAAGTTAGTGGAATAAACGGTGAAATATAACTTACTACTGTGTCATATTCATTCAACCACCTCTGTTATCTTAACCGAAACAGGGGAACGACTACTTCGCGGCGTCGATTCACCGAATCGTAGCGAGAATTTACGCCTCTCGCTGACGCGTTTTCCTCGCGACCGCGTCTCTCCGCGAACGGTCGTAACACTAATTATATACTTAAAAATATGAATTTTCATCAAAATCCGCAGTCTAATCGTAATTATTTATTATATTTTTCTTGTTATCGTAATTATTTATTTATTATATATATTTCAATGAAATTTATATCGTAATATTTCAAAGAAAAAAAATCACATTACAAAATAAATTATACAATTGTGTGTAGAGTATCTTACAGTTATAGTAGAATGTGCCAGCTTCAGAATGATCATCTTTTTCTAATAGCTATAAAAATATTTTTACAGAAATGCTTTTGTAGTATTGTGTTTTCCTGCTAATATACTATACATATAAATAAGATTTGTAATCAGGTTCGCTAGATTATATCTATTAGAATTCATGTAATGTCTTTAAGAAATGAGTCAGATAAAGACAATGTCAATCTACTTCATCAATACCATATTCCTTCAAATGTTTAATCTCATTAGTATTGATAATATCCTTTATGAAAAAGCATAAAAATTGCTCAAAAATTTAATTATGTATTAGAAATAAATTGCGTTTTTTGTATTGATTACAGAAAAGTCACTTTAGGATCGAAAACAATACTCAGGATATCATAAGCAGCCAGCAGTAACCAGCAACAACGATCTTTTTACAAATGATTATATAATACAATAAAAAATGAGATTATTTATTGTAAAATAATTATACAGAATGTATTTAGGAACAGTTTCAATAAATCAGAATAATTTAATGACATTTTATAATTTTATAAAATATTGGGCGAAATCTCGAAAATCTCGGTTCCAAAAAGTTCCTGAAATATGATGTCAAGTTCTAAAAATTATCGAAATTATGGTGCTACACTATCATGTTCCCCTGATACAAAATCGCAAAATCGGCCGAAAATTTTTTTAAGAAGCCGAAAATTTCGGTTTCGAGAACTTCTTGGAATGTGATGTCATATTCTAAGAATCGCCGAAATTATGCCGATCTCTTATGCTGTCACGTTCTCCTGATGCAAAATCGCTATTTCAGCTGATACATTTCTCGTTCCAACGACAATTTTTTGCTCTCAGGAAGAATTTGAGAATTCACTGAATTGTGGATATTGAAAGAATTTTAAATGATCAAACGTTTTATTCATTTGCAAAATAAGCTGATTTTATTCAATTTAATTTGCAAGTTTACAATGATTGTACAATTTTACAATTTCATAATTTCTGTATAATAATTTGTGTAATTGTGTAATGGTACAATAATTTGATCGCGTTGTTCGACCGATGGAACTAAACAACTCTTCTCATACGAAAATAATGACAAAAAACTTAAGTGGTCGTGGTATAGTGCGGCGTTTTGTCACTTATTTTCGAATCGCTACTAAGCGCGCCTGTTTTCGGTTAATTCCGTACGGTGTCGCCAATATTCGGCAGCAAATGATTCTGATTGGTTGGGCTGTCTACCCATGTCTCATTATAAAGAATTTGAAAAGATTTATTTAAACGGTTCCTTTTTCTACATATATTAACTTTAATTAAAATGTATTGTTACAGATAGCTTTTAAGTACTCGTTACTCCATGACAGACTGTTAGTGTGGCTAAGGCTAGTAGGCATAATTAACACTTATCTATGGTTAAAAGTAAAAACAAGATGGTGTGGTCATCAATAAAGAAGAGAATAGGCATAACACGAAATACTTTTTCGTGTCCAACAATTTAGGCATTATATAACTATGAATTCGTAAATTATTATTTTAGTGCAAAGAGAGAATTCTAAGCATCTATAGTGTATTGCATTTATACAGATTGAATTAACGGTTGATCAAAACAGTAATTTTGAACGGTAACTACTATGTTCTTAAGTTCCTAACATTCTGACATAAATAGACGACCACTACGTGTTATAATTATGTATTATATGGCAAATAATATAAAGTAATCGGCTGCAACCGCGATTATATTTTTATATAATTAGAAAACTTATTAAGCTGTTAATGAAAATATGATTGATTCCTAAATTCTGGATTGGTTTTTTTTGATAATATGTAGTAAAGTATCGTGCAAATATTCATATGCTTCGTTTGTGATTATAGGACATCCCGTTCTATACTTTATTTATAATTTTATGAACGACTTTAGTCTTAATTCAAACCACTCTTATACTGAGTTGGTAATGTCGCATGTGACACAAAAATGGCAAGGGAGTCCCAAAACGTAGGACACGAAAATCAAAGAAAAATTTCCTCTCTGGATATATCACGATGTCACTTTATTCTGTGCATGAAACGCTTAATGAAGGACACCACAGCAAGAAGCAAATAATCTTACGGACCAATTCATGAATAGCTCTTATTGTTAATAATAAATTATTCTCTTTCATGCATATGCACGTTAAAATATATGTATAAAATGCTTTTTATAGGAAATGATAATAGTTGACTGTAAAAACATTTAGATATTTTTATTAACATTTTTACATTCTTTTTTAATAGTTATATTATGATCTGTGCCTCGCATTTATTTTGTACAAAGCTGTAACATGTAGGGGAGACAGTAATAAATCTTGTTACACGTTAATCGCAACAAACGTCCTTAGTTCTTCCGGAATATTTTCATTTGGCAAATTGTAATTTTTCCCTTCATTCTTTTCATTCATGTTTACATATATTATGTATGTCGTGTGCATGCATAATATATACTGTATATATATACATATACACATTCATGTTATTATATTTATTATACGCAGAAATATTTAGCTGCAAATATTTTGTTGGTGTCAATCAAAATTAATATTAGCAAAACATTGCATTTTATCATTGCATTTTTTCATTGCATTTTATCATAGAAAGATATAATATCCCATACAATAAAAAGAGATGCGGGAATATTCGGAAATAATATCCATTGTATTGTTCAGTTCACACTTGAGCGTCATAAGAGATAACAAATTTCTGTCAATTTTCCACAATTTACATTAAATTCATTCATTGATGTATCAACTTCCAAAGATTCTCATCATTTTATTATATCTTCTCAATTCACTTTGTTACCACGTTGTATTAGATTTCTCGTAAGTGATACAAAAAAACATATTGTTTGTTTTCAGACATCATTTCACATTTTTCATCCTTTCACCTTCATTATCTTTTCTCACTGTAAAATTTTTAAACTGTAATTGCATGCTACTTCAATGAACGTTAATGCCAAAAAGGATAATAAATTTCGATAATCAATGATCAACTACACAATTAAAATCACTAATGACCAATGACATATGAATTGATTTGTTATACTGCATCTTCCATATTAGTGGTACATATATTTGTTATATACTAGTGCATAAATGATATAACGTGATAATGTTATAAATATACTGTAATAAGGAAATTGATAATTGAACATAACATTAAATTACATGCGCTACGTATACTTATTTTTCCAGATACATATGTTATTGTTTTGTTTATACATTTTCAGATACAATCCCCTTGGCATTAATGTCCTATATTCCTGAACTTTACTGAACTTTGACGTCATATCTCTTCAATGTGTTAGAGTTAAATAGGTCTTTATTGAAATGTCAAGATATAGATGAATTTCATCTAAGCCATAGCTTCAATCGAAGAGCATCTACGCCGTTTAAATAATACCGAAATAATCGCTTATCACGCACAAAACCAAGATTTTCGTACAAACGTAGTGCTGGACGATTAGTAATTTCTGTTTCTAAAACTACTTCGCCAGCATTATCTTCCACCATAGCTTGAATCGCTCTTCTTACTAGGTTTGAACCAATCTTTTGCTTTCGATATTTCACATCAACAGCTAACATTGCAATGTACCCACGTTTTATTACTTTTCTGTGGATGTCCAGCTTGCAGACAATGGCACCAACACATTCCTCACCATGTATTGCCTTGACGAACAAAAAGCAAGAATTTTTTGTAAATTCTACATACCTGCAAGACAAAGAAATTCGACCAAAGCTGGCTAACAGCTCTTTCTACTTGTCGATACTTTTTAATACCATGTTGACAACTTCTTAAATAGAATTATACAAAAATACACAATATTATGAAATATATGTTCCTACCAGCAATGTTTCAATACATTTGATTATTTCATAAATATACATACCAAGAAACATAATTTTGGCCAGTTATAAATGAAATATCTGTATGTATAAATAGAATATGGTTCGCTCAAGTCTTTTTGTATTAATTTCATAATATCAGGCATTTGGAGTTCACTTGTATAACTAACATATTGAATGTTATTATCCCTACTTTCCAATGACACTGTTTCTGCTAATGTACCTGAACATGCATAATTAGTAATCAATATAAAGGAATTCATAAAGGACAATAGATTGTTAAAAATTGAATGTTAATTTCTTGTACCATGTTGGTTTAAATGACTAGTTTCCATAGATTCAGATTGTGGAAGATTAACTATGCTGGTAATTCTTTCAGAAGAATTACAAATACCATTAACTAGAGGTATTCCATTTCTATGTGATTCTTCATATATTTCAGTTGTTTTCAGACTAAGTCGAGATGTAATGTCCAAAGTAGCAATATCTGTTAAAGAATTTTCATTCTTTTCTTCAATGCTACTTTGATCACCCTCTGATTCATTTCCATCCACTACACTCTTCGTTTTAAGCTTTTCCATCTTTAATTTTTTGTTAATATTTTTATTTTCTATATATCTGAATTTCTTTTCTCAAAGCATACAATTTCAGTACAGGGTTTTAAAGATGACAATTTCTACTTTTTTATACAATATATCCCTATGACATCAGTATTTCCAAATGACACACTAGCTTTTCAAACGAATTTTCATAATTACGCCGAGTTAAACGATTTCTTTATTTTTAATGTTATTTCCATATACAGAACGCCAATTTAGCTCTTCAATCGACGGACACCATATTGAATTTTCTGCGATGACCACTAACGACACAAACATAAACAATGCGCGAATAGCAACCATATCATATGTATCATCATTTTCCATCATTTTCATTACCTTTAATCATAAATAAAAAATGTAATCAATATTATTTAAATATGAAATTCTGCACACTTCCATTTTCACTTATGAAATATTCATAGCAATAATTTTTACAAAGTTCATGTTAATATAAATAAAATCTGATTGATTCTAAATAAGTACGGAATAGATGACAAAAATAGTGTCATTTAAAAATTAAGAATAAAATGACGAAATTAATATCGATATATTCTTTTTCTTGTTATTTATTTATTATTTATACATTTCATACATATCTCGTTTCGATGTTCCAAGAGGGCGCCCGTGTTCTTGAAAACGCCGGAAGTGGATAGAAGTCTACTACCATCTACTAACATCAGGAACGTTTAAGGTTCTTTTTGATGTACCACGATGGGTAAGTTGTTTGACTAGATATGGGTTTTGTTTTTATCGATTTGAATCAGTATCTTTGACATTAAAATTATTATTGAATAACCATTAATCATTTATAAAAACATCAATTTCTTTTATTCGGATATATATTACTTTCATAAATATAACTTAAATGGTTAAAAATGTTTGATATGTCGCCAGCTTTTGTAATTTCACTATTTTAATCAACTTTTCTTTATAATCTACTTTATTTTTGCTTAATTATATATTTATCATAGTTTTCATTTACTGATTTTAAGTTTATTGTGTCTAAGATAAGTATACATATATGTCTTTAACGTTTTTCATTCTTGTGTTGTTTATTAAGTTGGAACTGTATTATGTTATGTTGTCAGTAGTATCTCTATATATATAAAATGTTCCTTATGTATTTTGCCATATATATAAATATTTATTTGGTATTACAGGTATCTCTCGTGATCATTGGCATAAGAGACGAGCAACTGGTGGTAAAAGAAAACCACTCCGCAAGAAGAGGAAATTCGAATTAGGACGTCCAGCTGCAAACACAAAACTTGGAACTCAACGTATTCATACGGTATTATTAAACAATCCTTTATCATGAAATTCTATATTTTATTTATCGTTGTCAGAAGCAAAAGATAGCTGTTTTATGAATTTCATAATTTATCAGAAACAAAGCATAATAAATCTACTGATATATATTATCTATTATGCAATATATTCACTTTTAAAAAGTATAAAGGTGTTTCTGTATAAAGATATATGGTTTCCTTTTCTTTTGACAATTAGTGTAGCAATATAGAAACATAAAGTGATGACTATCTTTACCTACTCTGAATATTGTGCTGATTTATATCCCACAGCGTACTGATTGGAATTAGTATATTATATATTATTTATTTGTTATTAAACAATCATAATCATCTATATTCATATATAAATTAGGTACGTACAAGAGGTGGTAACAAAAAATATAGAGCCCTTCGTTTAGATACAGGAAATTTTTCATGGGGTTCTGAATGTACTACAAGAAAAACACGTATTATTGATGTAGTTTATAATGCATCAAACAATGAATTGGTGAGAACTAAAACTCTTGTAAAGAATGCAATTGTTACCATAGATGCAACACCTTTCAGACAATGGTATGAAGCTCATTATGTTTTACCATTGGGTCGTAAACGAGGTGCTAAATTGGTAAGTGAGTAGACACTTTTTTTTATTTATGTCATTAACAATTAATGATCTAACAAATTAATAAATGTTCAAAATAGACTGAAGCTGAAGAAGAAGTTTTAAATAAAAAACGCTCAAAAAAAGCAGAATCTAAGTACAAAGCGAGACAGCGATTTGCTAAAGTCGAGCCTGCTTTAGAAGAACAGTTTGCTACAGGACGCGTCCTTGGTAAGCAAAATATTTTAACAAACAAATTATTCCGTACAATATATTGTATAAATTAATTTTTCAGCACGCATATGCGAATATCGCAAATGTAGGTTGAACTTCGTTTCGAGACACAAAAGTAGTTCACATTGTGAAATACTTTTTATAATATACAAAAAAAATGACAAATTCGTTGTGTCCCAAAACGAAATTTAGCTCAATTTTATCATCTCTAATATTGCTAGTTTAAATTTGTTTACATTATTGCTTTGGTAATGTAATTATTAATATTTACTCTCCATTTATATCCATACAAAATGTTTCACGCAATTCAATGGCTATAGTTATATGATTCAAACATTTCAAAGGCATTTTTATTTTTCTAAATTGAGCTATACTTTGCTTTGCATCTTAATTGACATGTTTTGTTATTTCCTATAAAAAAATGTTGGATTGTGTCTGAAATTAGTTCAATAGATATTTTATCTTTAGTTATGTAGAACTTTGAAAGATAAAGAAAAATGAGAAAAGACATAATGCAATACTCTTGTGCTTGTTTTTCTTATCTTTCATATGATAAGTCCCTAGTTAAAATATCTTTTGAATAACTTTGGACAGTTTTCGACCAAAATGCCTTAACATTGTCATCCGTATAAATTTATTAATATCCTTAAGCAATAACCGTCGATTTTTGGTAACAAATTTCAAGTTCATAAACTTTACGTAAAGGTTTACCTTGTGTTGGACATCAACGTTGTATCACCAGACACTAACATTTAGCCTGCACAACACGTTGGTGTCACCGGATGTAAAAGTGTTAATACTTTTTGTAGAAAGTAATAAAACGTGTATTAATTAGTTGATTCAATCGATTTGATTGATACAATTTAAAAGTAGCGATGACTTTAAAATCTCCAAAACGTTTAGATTTTCGGAATAAAAATACGTACCTCATGCATTATGTATAAAACCACTTAATTTTGCTTTATTTTCATAATAGTGAATAGTAATAAGAAGTCTTTCGACTTCTACCAGATTCATATAAGTTGGCCTCACTGCGTGAAACATCACAAATAACTTTGTATAAGGAAATGTTACATTCTTTGCGTTTAGTAACACGCGCATCATATGTTGCTTAAATACTAAAACAAAGGAAACACTTTCTTATGAATTTTGAGTCATCAAATTTAAATTTTGATTTCAGCTTGTATATCAAGTAGACCTGGACAATGCGGTCGAGCGGATGGTTATATACTTGAAGGAAAAGAACTTGAATTTTATATGAGAAAAATTAAAAGCAAGAAAGCTAAATAAAATGTATAACTACAACAAGAAAATAAAATAATCTTTATGTAAGAAATGATACAAGTAATAGTAAATAACCGGTATATTCCTCGTACATATTTAAATTTTTATCAAACTATTTAATTATAATATCGTACCGATTATGGTATTTAATATATTATATATGGTTTGCAAATGTAGTATATATGCCGAGCTAGAAAAAACTGTTAATCGATTGTAGTTAATAGAATAATTATACATTGCTTTTAAAGTCTGAAGTATTCGAAATAAAACTTTTCGCAAGCTATTAACTATACAAAAATTAAAAATATTTTTCTACACCACTTCAAAATTGACGCTGTACATGTCAAATGATAATTGAGTTCCTTACATGTGCCTCCATGCACAAGATCGCTACTTATATATATACTTTGTATCTCGATTAACTTCTCGAATACGATGTGCTCACGATATATACAAATCTGGAAACTCCCGTGGTGAGGGTAAAGATCTCGGTAATTGGACAATGTTGGTCAATTTATCTGCAATATGGCGCTTCAATCGAAAAGTTAGGATTCGTCATGTAACGCCATCGTATAGAAATAACTCGGACTCGATCGTCTTTGCCTCTCTCTTTCTCTTTAATGTGGTTACATATTTGATTCATGGCGAACGAAGTAGCAGAGGATATAAAAAAAAGCGGCACCATAATAATAATAATAGCAGAGAAGGAATTTTCTCACTGATAATACAAATCAATTTTTGTCTTATATGTATGATTATTATAATTTTATTATTATTATTTTATATTTAACTAATATCTAATAAATATTATATAACATAAATATTCTTTTCGTTATTAATAATCTTTATAAACCCTAAAATTATACTATAATTTTATTTTTTCAGCACAAAATTTAACAATAATATAATGTTTGAAACGTTTCAATCATGAACAATATTTTGTGAATGATAATATTTACATATGTATATTACAGATAGTGTTAATAGTTACAATATTTAATGAATTAGAAAAACTAAAAACAAATTTACTTTCTGATAAATGTTATATATTTCATATACGCCATATAATGTACGTCAAATATAAAAGTGTTAAATACATATGTGTAGATATTTGATTTGAAAGTTGTAATTTTATTAAATTTTTTGTTGCAAATAATAATATGTACATATTTAATAAAGGTGCACAATTAATATTCATTTTTAATTAAAATGAAATATTGTAAATGTATTTACTTTAAATAAATGGTGAAAAATTATGGAAAAAAGCTTAGTCTAGTCATGGAGTAAACTCAATGGTTTAGTTCATATTCTTTATCTTGAATGTTTTCATCAAGAGTGACGTTAGATACAAAATTCTAACTTCTCGATTGCGACGTTCGATTTGTAAAGGACAACTCCTGACATTAAAAGCCTCCCCCCTTCCAGTGGTGGTTCAAACCTGTGTATAAAACCGTGATTGCGCTATACAGAACGCTGCAAACTTTGCTTTTACAAACATAGAAATATATACATATATATCTGTGCTTACAAATGAAGTGAGGTTGTCATGACCGATCTGAAGTGAACTCTTTCTAATATTTGTTCCTGTTTAACTCTTTCTCCGCTAGATGGAGCAGTTTTCCTAGAACTTTCCTAATTTCCACATGCCCTTCGACAAAGGAATTTGCATCTTCAATCGTAGTCATTGCACAGCTGATCTTGTAGTGTCGTTTACGGTTTACAGTAATATTTTTTTTTGTGTTTATATTATTACTCATGAAAAATTGATTGTAACAGAACATTACGGGTATTTAAAAGTTTATTTTGTAATTGTTGATAATAATATTTTACCGTTCTTTCAACATGGTGACGCATTCAAGAA